CTCTAAATTTGTATGTTCAATATAAAACTCAACTTTATACTCTTTCCGTTCCATAAAGATTGATGTTTTGGCTTTTTTACACAAATTAAAAAACAATTAATTATAAGTTATTAATGCATTACTTTTTAATACTAACTAATTTTCAATACATATTAAGTAATTCAGAATTTAAATACTTTTAATTAATATTTCTTGAAATTTGCAGAAAATTTATTTAATAATCTAAAACATTAATCTTTATTAAAAACCTCAAAACATCAATCTTCATGGAATGGAGAGAGTAGAACAAAATAGAGTATTCTAATTAAAAATGAGATTGAAATTATTGTCGTCCACAATTCACACACAAATTATGAAACGTCGTAAAATATGAGTAGACACCATTAAAGTATAATACTCGGTTACAAAATCATTTATCAAACCAAACACTAAAATCCCACAAATTTCCACGATATCCTTATAAAGTTATTTATTTTTTGAAAATTTGATTTATAAAGTTATTTCCATTCAAAGCTTAAGTTCTTAAAAAAAAAAGCTTGTTTTCAAAATGGTCTAAGATAAAACTACATCCCAAATCCTTTTTTATTGATTTAAAAATACATTGCTTTACAGAAATAAAATACGATCATTAAAAAGTCATAAATAATTTGAGTGAAGTTAGTTCAACTAATTTATAAACTAATTATTTGATTCCTTTCAGTATTCAACTACGAACTTTTCTATAGAAATATAGTTACTGCAAAAATGATCACCAAAATAATTTTAAACTTGAAGAAGTAGTGACTTCTTCAATGATCGATTTTTTTGTTATTATTTATTATTTTTGCTTGGTAACTAAAAAAACCAAGAAATGAAAAAGAACACCAAAGAAACCAATTTTGCGGAAAATAAGGACGATTAGCTAACAAAATATTAACGTAATTAACATTTCGAACCCTACAAAACTCAAATATTACAATCCCAATCCCTCCTTAAAACACCATAAAACCTTTAAAAAACCTCAAAACACATTTCAACAAACAATCAATTTCCTCACTCAAAAATCAGAAAGAAGAAGAAGAAATGAA